AAAAAAAAAAGGAGGAAAGAAATAAACAGAGTTAATGACCTGGCTGCTGGATTGCTGGGGGAGGGTGTTACGTGGGGGAGCGGAGGCGGGAGGGCCGCAGTTCCTGGGCTGGGCTGGGTGCAGGATGTGACCCATCCTCCGGATGCTGCCAGGACTCTCCTCCCTGGTTTTGCTGGGCCGGAGCACGTGGGGACCAGCCCTGGGCTCGCCAAGGGGCGAGAAACGGCCGGGAAAGGCGGCTCCAAACAGCGGGGGAAGTGCGAGGTCCCTCCGCACTCAGCCCCGGAGTTTGGGGCTCGGGCAGCACCCCCTTCCTGTACCCGGAGCTGCCACCCTGGGGGTGCTCCAGCTCCAGCACCCCCCTGGGGGGGTCCGCTGGGGCTCGGCAGGGATCCAGCCCCTTCCCCGCTCGGGAACCACCAGGCGTGGGCTGCTCCAGGTCGGGTTTCGGTCCCAGACGCGTCGCAGCCCGCGGGGAAGCAGCAGCTGCTGGCGGGGGCTGTGACCCCGCAGCTCCAGCTCGGTCGCGGGGGGGACAGCGGGGACAGGGTGGCCGGAGCCCCACGTGAGGCGGCAGCGTCACCGCAGAGGCAGGAAGGGCAGGGAGGGCGCACGGAGGCGGGCGCAGCCGAGCTTTAAAAGTCCTTGCCGGGACGGGCTCGCTTCCGCGTCACCCCCGGCGTCCCCCATGGCCCCCGCGGTGCCGCTGCCCGCCCTGGCGCTGGTGGCTCTGGTGGCCCTGGTGGCCCCCGGGCTCGGGGTGGCCCCCGGCTGTGACCTCCCCGCCCACCTCTGGTGCAGCTCGCCGGAGACCGCCGTCGCCTGCCAGGTCAGAGCCGCGGGTGCCAGGGCTGCCCCACGCAGGGCAGGGTCACCCCACACGTGGGGACACGTCCTGCCTGCCCGGCGGCGGGGCTGGGGACGCGGGGGACGGGGTTGGGGCATCGCCCGGCCGCGGTACCTGGAGCCAGTGGCGGCTCCGAGCGCCGTTGTGGCACCGGCGGGCACAGCGCGGGGATGCTCAGAGACCCCGGGCCACACCGGCATCCCTGGGGAATTGCTGTGCTCCAGCCGGACCGGGACCCTGGACTCTCCGTGGCCTCCGCTGGCACTTCTACTTTTTAAGCGTAAAACTTAGGCTTTTCAGGTTATTTCTGCCGCGAGCAGCCCCAGGCGGTGACAACCGTGTGACAGTGGCTCTGGCAGTGTCCTGTGAGCCCCGCGGGGCTGCAGCCGCCACCCGGCGGTGGGTGCAAGGGCTGTACCCCCACCCAGGCGTGCCCTGGCCTAAATTTGTTTTCCTCTGAAGCAGTTTGGGGAAGTTCTTGTGGAAAGCCCCAGCGCTGGGTGACGGCCACGCACAGGATCCTGCGGCTGCTCGAGGCCCCTTGGCCACTCTCACTTCCCTCCAGCCCTGCACACCCTCATCCCCCTTCTGCCCCACACCCACCCCGGGAGCTTTGCCCCTCCCTGCAAGTATTTGGGGAGGGGGGATCCGCAGCCGTGTGCCCCCTGTGCACCCCGACACGTCCCCGCACGCAGGTTGAGAGCCGCTGCCCCGACCCGCCTCGCCCCGCGGCCGCCCCGGTGGAGCTGAGCCTCTACTACGAGAGCCTGTGCCCGGCTTGCCGCCAGTTCCTGGTGCTGGAACTCTTCCCCACCTGGCTGCTGCTGCCCTCGGAGATGCTGAACATCACCCTGGTGCCCTACGGCAACGCCCAGGTAGGATCTGGCCCAGCTGGTGCCGCGGCCCCTCGCCCCGGTGCCGCCGGCCCCGCTCAGACCGGTTGGTCCCGCAGGAGAGGAACGTCAGCGGGAAGTGGGACTTCGAGTGCCAGCACGGCCCCGAGGAGTGTTTGGGCAACATGATGGAGGTGACGGTCCCTGTTCCCGTGGCGCTGGCACAGGGGGAGCCAGCGGGCCCCCTACCACCCACCCTGTTCCCATAGACCTGCCTGATGCACGAGGCCAAGAACTTCAGCACCTACTTCCCCGTCATCTTCTGCCTGGAGTCAGGCAGCTCCGTCACCAAGAACCTGGAGGCTGTACGTCCCCTCCCCTGTCCCTCGTGCCCTGCTGTGGGGATGTCCCTGTCCCTCCTGCCCCACAGGGACATCCCTGTCCCCTCTCCTGGCAGTGCCTGCAGATCTACGCCCCGGAGCTGGACAGGGGCCGCATCGCCGCCTGCGTGCAGGGGGACACGGGGATGGCCCTGATGCACCAGAACGCCCAACTGACCGAGGCGCTCGACCCCCCGCACCAGTTTGTGCCCTGGATCGTCATCAACGGGGTATGGCAGAGGGGCCCAGGGTGCCAGGCAGGGCTGGGGCACTTTGGGGACACCCCCTGAGCAGCCCCATCTCCCCCCACAGAAGCACACGGACGAGCTGCAGGCACAGGCAGAGGCCTCCCTGCTGGGGCTGGTTTGCCACCTCTACCAGGTGGGACAGGGATCTGGGGGAACAGTGGGGCTTGGGGACATGTCCCTGTCCCTGCTGGGGCTCTACTGACCACTGTCTGGCAGGGGGAGAAACCCGAAGCCTGTGGGGGCTCAAAGGCCCTGAAGACCCCGTCGGGCTGCAGGCGCTGAGGGAAGATGAGGGAGCACCAAGGGAGAGGCCAATAAAAAGGATTTTTTTTTTTAAAAAAACCCCCAAGGATCTGGAATGGTGTGTTGGGGGGGGGCAGGCAGCTGGTGGTCCTGCCCCACCATGGTGCAAGAGGGAGGGAGCTGGGCTTCAGGGCAATGGGACTGGCCTCTTCCTGCACCCAGGGCATGTGACAGGATGTGCTGGGCTCTGCCAGGGAATCACCTGCTCCTGGCGATCTCAAAGGAGCCTCTTGAAGATTTCTGTGGAAATCTGCTAAGCCCCTCCCTAAGGAACAGAACATTTGCTCTCTCCAAGCCCTGGGAAGCAGCTCTGATGTCCTTCTTTCTCCTTACACTGAAAGCATTAACCATTTCAGCAGCTCTGTGGGCCAAGACCACCCCAGCTCCCCCCAGTCCTCCCTTCCCAACCAACCAGTGTAGGACAGTGCCTGGTGGCTCCCTGAGTACTCGAGGCAAGAAGTTCTCTCCCACAAACTTGAGGAATTTCCCAGACCTGCTGGCCACAGCAGGAGGCCATTCCCAGCTGGAGGCTGGGAAGCTGAAATCCACTGTAAAGACAAGGACTCCTGATCCAGAGAGTTCTCCTCACTGCCTCTGGAAAACTCCTCAGTGCTGGGTGATGGGCACCAGCACCTACTGCAACCTGTGCTTTGCTTTCCATCCCACTCATCCTCCCCCAGAGGCTCCCAACCACATCACCCCCAGCTACAGGCACTGTTCCAGTCCTCTCACTCCCATCTAGGGTGACACCTTCCCCTCTGCAGCCCTACCCACCTCTCCTGAACAGCCAGGATGGCCATCAGAGCACTCCAGGTGTGGGACAGCCCCCAAGAGGCACCTGTAGGGGATCAGGGACACTCCAACCCCCTTGAACTCTGCCCTTCTCCCAGAGGAGCTGTTTAGGGCAGGGAGGACACAGTGAGCCCTATTCTGGGAGATGCCCTTGGGAGGAGCCCTCGGCAGCCGACAGCCAGAAGGAACCGTGGTCCTGCTGCCACAGCAGCTCCCAAGACATGGTCCTTGGGCCCCCTGAGTCCTTCAGCCCTGGGGGTTCCCCAAAATCTTCTAGTCCTGAGGTGGGGTCCAAGCTGAGCCCTGCAGTCAGAGGATGCTCTGGGGTGGGGGAGCAGGAACAGGAACAGAGGGGACCAGCAACCACCAGTCCAGCCCCTCTCAGTTCAGCCAAGCTGTGCCCCCTGCCCTGGGCACACCAAGACCCCACCTGCAGCACTCCCACCAGCCTGAGAAGGACAAGGGAGACAAGCAGGGACCCTCCTGCCCTTGCCTGCACCTCAGGCAGCAGCAAGACCAGGAAGGAGGGAAAAAGGTATAAGAAAAAAAAAAATAAATAAATCTCACTACCAGCCAGAGAGTGCCTGGAAACTTCATCTCTCTTTATTTGCCCATTTCCCATCCAAAACCTGGACCCCATCTCAGCTCTGGGCCCCAGGCAAGAACAGTCCCACACTGGCACGAGCACAGCACAGCTCCTGCTGCTGCTCAGCCTCTCGCCTCGAGCGTCGTCCCAAAACTTCCGTCCCCTGGAGCAGCTGCACCGCCAGCGCCCACAGCTCTTGGGGCCACGGAGAAATCTTCTGCTCGAGAGAAGGAGGGAAAAGAAAGAAAATAAACAAGCCTCAACCTCAAATGCGAAGGAGCCTCAGCGCCGGAGGATGAGCTCTCCGCTCCCGAAGCTGCTGCCGAAGCCTTTGGCGTCATCAGAGCTGAGGGGCAGGTGAAGGGCCCAGCCTGTGGGGCTTGGTGAAGTCCCACAGGCTGAGGGGCTCAGACACCCACTTTGGGGCCAGGGAGTTGCCCGGAGGAGGTTCAGTGTCAGGAGAGGGGCTTCTGCTCCAGGGTCCCCAGACACCCGTGCTGCCCCCCCAGCCACCGCAGGGGCTCTCGGTGCCGCCCTGGGGGCTGTAGCAGCTGCTGATTCCCAAGCCCAGCCCAAGCGGAGGGAAGACCTTGCTGCTGGTGAGGAGTGATCTGGTGAGGGTGCCGAAATTCCCAGGCTTGAAGTCGCTGCCGGGCCAGGCAGGTGCCACGGCATCCTTGTTCAGGAGGGACAGCGGCCCCGAGGCATCGTCCGACCCGGGAGAGCTGCAGAGCAGGGAGTCCTCGTGGCTGCGGGGGAGGCTCAGGGCAGCTCCCTGCACCTTCCAGCCTGGCTGATCCACCCGCTTTTCCACCACCTCCCTCTCTTCCCCGGGTTTCTTCCTGTTCCCCTTCCCGCACAGCTGGACCACCTTGATGCCGCTGTCGCCGTCGCGGTGCCCGAGGCTCTCGAAGGCCCTGCGGGCGCTGTCCAGGCTCTCGTACTCCACCAGGGCACAGCACCTGCTCAGCAGCTCGGGGAACTTGGCCAGGTATCTCCTCACGTCCGAGGGCAGCTTCCGGCCCGGCCGCAGGACGCGGATGGAGGCGATGGCTCCGAAGGGGCTGAACATCCTCAGGATGGTCTCCAGGAAGTTCTCCTGGAGCGGGGGTGGCAGCAGCGGGTCCTGCCCCCGGGGCTGCAGCTCCCAGGCCAGCAGCAGTTTGCTGGGGGGGATGCTCAGCAGGGCCTCAGGGATGGGCACCCTGCGCCTCACTTTGGTGCCCTCCTTGTTCACCTCCAGCAGCTCCGAGAATTTCAGGGCGTAGAGCGTGAGCTGCCAGTCCCGGGTCAGGTACTTCACCTGGGGAAGAGAGGGGACTGCTGCATCCCTGGGATCTCCCCAGGCAGGGAACCCACCATCCAGGCAGGCTGCAACCTTATCAACACAGAGCTATGGCAAGGCAATGTCTCCCTTCCACGTGAGCGGCCCTGGGGCCTGCAGGAAGTCCCCAGTGTCCCCTGGGCTGTGGCAGCAAACCTCAGCTTCCCCAAATGTCACACCACCAGCACTTGCCTGGGTTTTTCGCTTAAGGGATGATCTCAAAGCAGCCCGGGAGGGGGGGTGGGGTGTGGTCATGGGTGAATCCAGCCCCAGGGGTGGTTTGGGGACTGTTCACTGTTCCCCCAGCCCCCCTCCCTGCAGGGCATTGAAGGCAGAGAGCAGAGCCCAGCTCTGCATCACCAGGGCTTTGCTGGCAACAGCCTGAGGGGAATCCAGACCTGCCTGTGCACCCCACTGGAGTCAGCAGAGCACACTTGGACATCCTCCACCCTTCCCACTCCTCCCCGGGCTCCCCACCTTCTTGAAGGACGTCAGTAGTTTGATGCTGACAAAGCCCATCTTGTTCTTCTGGACGTGTTTCAGGAGGAAAGCGTCCCTGGCCAGGTTCTCGTCGGACAGGTAGAATTCCACCTGGGACACGATCCTGCGGACCAGCTGCGGGTCGGGGAGGGAGCAGCTGCCGTCCAGCAGGTCAGAGCCCAGAGCACCTCTCAGGTCACAGCCCCTCCTGGCAGAGCTGTGGGGACACAGGGGTGAGGTGGAGACTTGCAAAGCGTCCCCCAAGGGCTCAGCAGAAGCGCTGGGGACACCCAGAGCCACCCGCTCTGCCTGGGCTGCAGGAACACCTCCAGCCCGTGCCCTGCGAGCATCCAGACCGTGAACTCGAACCCATTCCAGCCAAGGGACACATTCCCTTGGGGACAAACACAGGGGAAAGACCGGGGCTCAGCCCCCCCCTGCACATCCCAGCACCACGTACCCGTCGAAACTCTCCAATTCGTCCTCCCGGCCGAGCAGGGCGAGCGAGCGGCTCCGCGGGGGGAGGAGGTGCCGCGCCAGGAAGGAATTTCCTTGTGCCGGCCCTGGGGTGCTGCATCTGGGCCGGGAATGGAGCCCTGAGGCCATCCCTGAGCTGCGCGATGACATTGTCCTCGGTCTGGGACGTTGCACAGGAGAAGGACAGGGATGGGACACATCCTGAGCCCTGCTGGGGGCCGCGGCCCCCAAGCCCAGCCCAGGGAAGGGGGAGTGGAGGTAGCTGGGTGTTGTCTCCTTACCTGCTTGGCAGCGCCGGGAAGGGTAGGAAGTCTCAGCAGTACATTCCAGAGACCCAGGGGCAGCAAACCCCAACTCTCCCCAGCTCCAAACTAAGGCTCCCAAAAGACAAAGGCAAAAAAAAAATTAAATTAAAAAAAAAAATTAAAAAAAAAAAAAAAAAAAAAAAAAAGGAAAGAGAGAGAGTGTGTGACCCTGGGGTGGGGAGGCTGTGGGTTTATAAGCATAACCACCCTGGAGGAGCTATGGGGGCGGTTGTGGACCTGCCCCCAGACCCACCTGCTCCAGGTGAAACCTGTTTGTGGTTAAACTGCCCCAGCTGAGCCCTGGGACCAGCTAGGCTCCTCCTGCCTCGGCTGCAGAGCCAGGCCAGGGGCAGCAGGAACAGGGGCAGCGGAATCTGCCCCCTCTGGTTTCCCAGGTGGACAGTGAGTTGATGCCACGAGGCCTCTCGGGCCGTGCCTCAGTTTCTCTGCCTTGTGCAGGATCAGGAACGGCCACGGGCAGGTGGAGGGAGGAACGTTCAGCCCAGAAAATCGATTTGGGCTCTCAGTGCTGCCAGAGTGACAGGCAAAGCTCCTTCTCCCTGCAGAAACACCTCCTGCCCCAGCGAGGGAGCAGGAGAGCCCCAGGAATGGGGTGAGAGGCTGAGGCTAAACCTTCCCCTTCCCGAGGGATCCGAGCGGGGATGATCCAGCACTTGCCACATCCCTGTCTCGCTGTCCCCATCCTCTCAATTAGTCTGGAAGCATAATTAAAACGTGCTTCCTATGGCCCCACGCTCAGCCTGATCCTTCAGCCTCTCCTCCCCCTCTGGGAGTGTAATGGGGGGTTATCCCTACACAGCAGCTGCTGCTCCATGGGGATCCCTGCCCAAAACTGCTGGAAATACCCTGCACTGCTCAGCTCCTGCATCCCCCCCCCCCGCAGTGCTGCAGCATCTCCTGACATCTCCTCTCAGGGAACACAGAAGAAATGGGACCACAACACTCCTTGTACAGGCCTGAGCATTGGATACACATTTATTGCTATTCAGGTTTAGCTGTGAGTTCTGTGCAGGGGGTTTAGGTGGTTCCCCAGACTCCTCACACGGTGCATCCAGAGCATCCTGTTTGCAGGTTGGGGTCCCTTGGTGAAAGAGCCAGTGTTCCTGATGAACTTTCTATGGCCCTCAGTGGGAGCAGGGGAGTTAAGACTTGGTTGCTCAGCTGTTTTTTGTTTTTTATTTTTTGAACCCTCTTATCTCATCAGCAGGATCCAAAACACTGGACTCTGAACCCAGGAGAGTTCTGGTTGTTATTTACATTTAAATCTGCCTTTCTCACTTCTCTCCTTCTCTCACTTCACTCCCATAGGAGACATTTACAGACAGCAACAGCACAGGACAGTCAGTGGAAAAATGTGCCACTACACACACTTTGGTTTCACTTGCCATTTGTAATGTGTTTTAAAGTGTCACACCTACCTTAGTACCACTGGGAATGAGGCAAGAAAGAGATTTGGGTAGAATAAACTCTGCTATGCAAGTGTACACGAGACCCCTGGAGAAGCTCACACCAAATGCTGCATCATTAGAAACCATAATAATAAAAGCTATTTATGACACGGCCTTTATTCACAGAAAGAGTTGCCCTGGGGCTTTGTTTTTGCAGATTGGCTTGATGACAATTCCCCCCTGCCCCCCTCCTCTGCCCTGTAGCCCACAACACCCCAGTGTAGTCCACATCATCCCAGTGTAATCCGCATCATCCCAGTGTGATCCACATCATCCCAGTGTAACCCACATCATCCCAGTGTAATCCACATCATCCCAGTGTAACCCACATCATCCCAGTGTAATCCACCTCAGCACAGACCCCACAGGACACGGAAAGGGAGGAGAGACCCCACTGAGCTCCCCTGGCTCAGCCCCACGGGAGCCACCAGGAAAAGGCAAAGGGGTTCAGAGAGGGGAAATGCCACCAGAGTGCTGAGCCCCCCTGGGTCCATGACAGCCCCTCATGACACGGGATGAGCTGTTGGATCAGTCTGAGCTGTGCTGGCTCTCCTGGAGTGGGGGGAAGCAGGAACATGGCCCACCCTAAGGCACTGCGGTCACACCCCCTCGCCCTGCTCCAGACACGGCTGCACCTCCTCCAGCTGGACATGGGAGTGGGAATTTCACACCCCCCAGGACGTGGGGCCAGTGCCCCTCTGCCTGGGCACCCTGGAGGATGGGGGTGCCATGGGATTGCCCTGGGATTGACCCCAGGCAATGAACACACTCTGCAACCGGCTGCCCTTCCTTGGAGTCCTTTGGTATCTTGAGTTGGCCTGATGGTGTCCCGGGAGCATTCAGGGATCAGTGGTGAAATGCCAAGCTGGGGAGATGTGGGAGCAGGTGGGAATGCTCGTCCTGTAGTCCCAGAGCACTCCTGTGTCCACCAGGATCCGAGGAATGTGCAGCCTGGAGTGGGTACAAGAGTGACCAACTGTCCTGTGCTCCCTGGTGCAAGTGATTTGGCAAAGCCAGAGCCAGGACAGCTTGTCTGGAAAGGCTGCAGGAGAAGAGTCAGGTATTTTTCCTTCTTCTTGGGCACTGATTGGTTCAAGTTCGTATCACAGTGAAGTCTGAGAAGTGGGGAAGGAACCCAAACCACCTTCCCTGAAGGAGAAAGCCTCGTTTGTCCTCCTCGCTCCGGCTGGGGAGGGAGGACAGGCTCTCCCAGCCAGGCACATCCAACCTGCTGCTGACCATGGAGGCTTCCATCCCTTGGGAGCAGACTCTGGAGCTTCTCCCTCCAGACAGCAGCCACACTGGAGGGAAGAGGGTGGCCAAACCAGCCCCATCCCAGCGCCTGCCCCGGCTCAGCCCAGAGCCCATCCTCGAACACAAGTAAACAAGAAAGAGAAACTAAGAGGCACTAAGAACGCAGATCTGGGGAGGCTCAGGCTTGGCACCATCCAACCTGGCTCTGGATGTCTCTGTCCAGCTGGAGAGGAGCCGTGTGGCTGGCTCAGATCTCCTGCAGGGAGTGGCCGGGGTCGCTGCGCTCCCGCTTCACCAGCGGCTCCCCCACGGCCCGCTCCGTGTCCACCTCAGCGCCCAGCTCACTGATGTCATCTGCAAGGACATGGCTCAGCATCAGACAGGAGACCAGAGGGAAGGAGGGGGAGCTTTCTCCCAGCAGAGCAGGCTGGAAGAGCCGGCACGAGGATCCCCCTCCCACCCTTACCCAGAGGGATTCCCCCGTGTACCTTTGTCCAGCAGCGTTGGGGACAGGGACGTGAGGTCACCAAACTGAAAGAAAAGGGAGTTACAAGGTCAGTCGGGCTTTGCAGACCCGAAGTGCCAGACCTGCTCAGTGGCCTCAGTCACCAAACAGTTCCAACAAGCAGCTTAAGTGCCCAGGAGAGACCATGAGCATGAGCAGTGCTGGTGGTGGAGAGCAGAAAGCAAACCCAACCACACGTTTTTTGGGGGAAAAGCCTTTTGTTACCCTTTAAACCAGCCCTCCCCCCACAATCCAGGGGAGTGTCAAGCTCTGGACCAGAGGGAGAAATTTTTCCATCTCCCAAGTGATGTCACAGTGCAAAGGATGTGCTTTTTCTCCAGCCTTTTGCATCTTTTGGGCAATTTCCCTCCCCTGCTCGCCCTTCACGGCACCTCTCTGCAAAGCCTTTGCAGTCATGTCAGAGAGTGTTTGGTGTGTGAGTGGTGCCAAGTGGAACCAGAGAGCTGAGTGCACCTCTGGCTCTGGAGATGTGACAAGGTCTGAAACACCAAATTGCCACAAAAATGCTGAAAAGCCACGGAAAGGCAGGAGGAAAAGCAGCAGGAGCTGAGGGGAGCTCCAGAGAAAGCTCGGTGGAAATGGGAGCACACAATTCCTCCTCCTGTGCTGGGAAGAATCAGCCTCCTCCTGGAGAACAGGAATATTGCAAGGGTTTAATGAAGGGAAAAAAAGCGAGGGAGGAAAGCCTCCCACAGCTGGGTTTTGCAGGAAGCCACTCTCTGCCTTTCATGTTCCTTTAATACCGAGAAAGGCCGAGGTTTTGCAGGGAACGGTGGGAACTCAGAGCGCTGCAGTTGGAGCAGCAGCGTGGGAGGGGAAGGGAAAGGCTTTGGTTTGCCTGGCTCCCCACAGGAGCTCCCTGGAAGGAAGAGAACAGCACGAGCTTCGAGCAGCAAAAGAGCTCAGTTCTGAGCAGATGAGCTCAGTTTTAATCTCACTGTAGTTTCTATATTGCTGTCGCAGGTTCATCTGGGGCTTTTAACTCTGCATTTCAGAGGGGAAAAACTGAATGTGGCCCCAGCTGGGCAGGACAGGACCTGCCTGCAAGCCAGGCACCAGTTGCTGCCTGACTGGTGAACAAAAAAAAAAACCCCAAACCCTCACAAACAGCACAAACAACCCATCATTTTTTCTTCTTCACCTCAAAAACAGAGTGTGACTGTGCATGTGACACTGGAGCTTGCAGAGCCCTGAAGAAGTTCAGTTACTGAAAGGAACTTTTGGACCTTTTTGCTTCACTTAGTGTTTGATGGCAGGAATCCCAAAGCCAGGGTTCTCTCCACAGGTTATGGAGAGAAGTAGGGAGATCCTTTTCTTCCCTCCTCCAGGCCTCCAAGGCCCAGCTGCTCCAAAACCCACCAGCTCATGGAAGACGCTCCAGGAGCTCCATCCTTGAGCCAGAACACAAAACTCAGCAAATCCTTTGGTTATGAATCATGTTGAGGACACAAGTGTGTCTCTGGTGAGGCCCCCTCTCGAGTGCTGTGTCCAGTTCCTGGTGCCTCAGCTCAGGAAGGACATGGAGGGGCTGGAGCAGGTGCAGGGAAGGGCAACAAGGCTGGGGAAGGGTCTGGAGCACAAGTGCTGGGAGGAGAGGCTGAGGGAGCTGGAGGGGCTCAGCCTGGAGAAAAGGAGGCTCAGGGGGGACCTCAGCACTCCCTACAACCCCCTGACAGGAGGGGGAGCTGGGGCTCATCTCCCAGCAACAGGGCAACAGGACAGGCTTAAGCTGCAGCAGGGGAGGTTTAGGTTGGAGATCAGGAAGAAGTTGTTCACAGAAAGGGTGACTGGGCACTGGAATGGGCTTGCCCAGAGAAGTGGCGGAGTCACCACCCCTGGAGGTGTTCAAGGACAGACAGGATGTGGCACTGAGAGCCATGGTCTGTGTGACAAGGCCATGTTGGGCCATGGGTTGGACTCGGTGAGCTCAGAGACCTTTCCCAACCCGTCTGATTCCGTGACTCTTTGGGTGCTGCTTGGTCTGGGTTCATTCCCGGGGGGCGAAGGGCTCTCTCACCTCTCCCATGACGGCGATGGGGGTCTCCCCGGTGGCCTGGGCCACACGGTGCTCCACCAGGTAGAACATGTACTCGTCGTAGAGCAGGCGGATCAGGTGGAAGGACCCAAAGCTGGCGGCGCTGCGCAGGGTCAGGTCCCGGATCACCATGGAGCTGGAAAACCGCCGGGAAACAACAGTTGGGGCGTGTTTCACAACCTGTGTCGTGGCTGGTTCTGCACCCTGAGCTCTGGACCCTGGAGGTACTGGGGGATTGTTTCTGCCTCTAACCCAAGGGTGTCAAACCACTCCAACAAATAAGTTGATGGAGCTTCCTGTCCGATTTGGGTATGGCAGGGTTTGGTTTGATGACCTTGGAAGCCTTTTCCAACTCATCCCCTTCTGCCTCCAACCCAAGAGGATCAAACCACTCTAAGAAATAAGTTTGATGGTGCATCCTGTCCTGTCTGGGCATGGAAGGATTTGATCTTGGAAGCCTTTTCCAACCTTAATGATGCTATCCCTGTCCTGAAAGGACACAGGAGACACGACACTCCCTTCTGTACCAGAGCCACAGTTAACCACAGTTTTATGGTTAAAGAACTCGGCCTTGGCTTCTCAAGGAGCTCCTCACATGCAGAAATACCTCCAAAATGAGAAAGGAGATGTACCTGTAGAAGGACCATTTCAACAGGAACTGCCTGGCTGCCTTGGGGAAGCTGGGACTGCCCTCATGGTGCTTCAGGACCTGAGTGACAACGTTATCCAGCCAACTGGCCCACTGGTCCAGAGAGCTTTGCTGCTGCAGAGTGAGCTTGAAATCCTGCTCCAGCTTCTGCACCATGCCCTCCTCACACTGGCACACCCACGAGGCTTGTTCCTGCTCGGGAAGAAGGGTTGATAGTCACTCATGCCAAACCTGCAGGGTGTTGTATCCCAGCCCAGGAATTCGGCTTCATTCCTAGTAGGCAAGGTCTCCAAACCAGCTCTGTATATTGTCTGTGATCCATCCACTGTATAAAGTTATTATTAAACTATATTACTGTTGGTGGCACTTCTGCTTTCTTCACTGAAGGAGTGGTTAAGCCTGGGAACAGGCTGCCCAGGGAAGTGGTGGAATCACCATCTCTGCAAGTGTTCAAAAAAGGAGTTGAAGATGTGGAGGGATTCTGCTGAAGGTCGGACTTGGAGATCTTTTCCAGCCTTAACGATTCCACAACTCTTATTTACAAATAAGGTTACAAACCAATAAATACGATTCTACAACTCTTATTTACAAAATGCTCCACCAAGGGAGAAGCGAGATGGGAAAGCAAAGGTGGAAAAGCAGCACCAAAAACCCATCAACTTGTTCACTGAGTTGTTTTTTAGCACTGGTGGTTGAAATCAGGGGGGTGATTACAAGCTGGCTGCGGAGCCCCAGCCCCAGAGGACACGACCCCAGGGGCAGAGCTTTACCTGCACATTGGCGAAGTCGACGCGGTTGAGGTCGCTGAGCATCTGGTTGATCTGGGAGGTGTTCTGGAGCACGGCCCGGGCCGCCTGGGCCAGGTGGTTGAGGGACGTGTATCTGCGCAGGGTCTGGGCGAAGGCACTCACCACCCCCACCTGCAACACAGCACGTGGGGCTGGGGGGAAAGAAAACCACCCCCCTGCTCCGGGCACGCGTTGACTCTGAGCTGCCCTGGGGTCACCACCCTGAGAGAAACGTCTGGATGTGCCACTCGGGGACACGGTGGGGTTTGGCAGTACTGGGTTAAGGTTTGGACTCGGTGATCCTAAAGGTTGTTTCCATCCTAATCCTTGTGCCAGGCACTCAGAAGAAACTCAGTAAACCCTTTGGCACAGATGGTTGGATGGAAACACGCTGAGGATGCTGTTGGTTTGGGAACCAGCTGGGTCTCTTGAGGTGCTGCTTAGTTTGGGTTTGTTTCTAGGGAATAAACGACTCTCCCATGATGTCTCCCTGGTTGCCTGGGCAACAGGATGCCCCACCAGGTAAAACACAAGCTCATCACAGAGCAGGTGAATCAGGTGGAAGGACCCAAACCGAAATGATTCTCTGATTCTATTGTTCATTTTCTTTAAACTATCAGGTTTTCACGCTCTGCCTCCAGCAGAGACCAGCAAGGTGGGAACAGGCTGCAAGAATCCCTGGCTTTAGGAGAAGGGGAGTAGGAACCTTGTGTTCCCTAGTGAACCTACTGGTTCCTCCTGGAACTTGGCAATGCCATTCCTTCCTGTGCTTTCCAGGACAGACTCATTCCAGGGCAGGGATAACAGGCATCCCCAGGGCAGTGGGCACGGCCCCAAGGCTGCCAGAGCTCCAGGAGTGTTTGGACAACACTTTGAGGGATGGGGGGGATTGTTGGGGTGTCCTGGGGAGGGCAGGAGTTGGACTGGATGATCCTTGGGGGTCCCTTCCAACTCAGGATATTCTGTGATGTTATGAAAAATCATAAAAAATCACACAAAGCTTTATCTGCCATTTCAGGATGCAGGAACAGCTCCATGGACAGAGCAGCATCAGCTGCTGGTACAAGGGAATTGCCCGACCTGCCCTCCCACTGGTTGCTGATTTTGGTTCAGAATTAACCACTACACTGTGCTAATCTTGAGAACTGACTCAAAGTGGTCCAACTGCAGTGGGGATTTCCTATTCCTGCGGGAAACTGCAACATGCAGACAACACACTGAGCCCAATCTCACCCCCCCTGCTCACCTTGGTCTGCACGACCTGCGGGGGGAATTCACTCATGGCGTTCATCAGCCACCCTTCCAAACTCTTGGCAAAGTTCCGGATTGCCTGGGTCAGGGTGCCTGCAAAGAAAGCTGCAGAGTCAGAGAGGCTGTTCTGTGTCATTTCTGGGGAGCACTTTCTAGCTCAGGACTGCTGGGGAAAACACAGCCTGTGGTCTTGGTTAGCTGAGACCTCGACTTTGCATCAAGGAAATGAGCTGGGTCCTGATATACACTCAAATTGTTCTTGTTCTTCAACGTTATTACTCAAACATTCTTATTCCTATTCTTATTTTTATTCTTATTCTTGTTCTTTGATGATCTGACTTACTGATCTTGGAGGTCTTTTTCAACCTCAACATTTCTACGATTTCTATTATTGTTATTTTATCTTATCCTTTTCTTATTCCTGGTCCTTCTGAGCACTTTCCAAACGGTGAAATCTGCTTTTCAAAGACACCCACGTGTGCCAGCATGTGACTGACACCACCCCTGAGGGGGACACACCTGTCCAGCACTAGGCCCAGTTAAGGACTAAGCTGAGGTTTTGGGGAGACTGACACAATTCCCCTTTCCTGGGGAGCCAAATCAGAGAGCAAACCCTCATTATCCCATCACTAGCTTCCCAAATAAAAGCTGACCCCTTAATTTCCAGGATGTGCCATAGGGGACAGGATGGTCCAATGTAAACAAAAGATGTGATCTCCAAGGATCAGCTGTGCTTCCATGTGTGTGTAACGTGCTTTTTTTGCCTGACTCCTGGCCAAAAGCAGGAGATGTGATGTGCAATGCACCAGATTTAAAAGGCATGGGAATTCCCAAGGGTCACAAAATAAACCATCACAGAGCAAAGCTGCAGGAGGAATATTGCTGTTGCCATAACATTTCAGCCAAAAAAAACCACCTCTGCATCAGTTTTTACAAGGGAAATCTTTGTGGGAAGTGAGTCATCTCCCACCCCTGGAAGTGTCCAAGGATGGACAGGTTGGACGGGGTTTGGAGCAACCTGGGCTAGTGGAAGGTGTTCCTGCCCATGGCAGGGGTGGAATGAGATGAGCTTTGAGGTCCCTTCCAATCCAAACATTCCATGATTCCATGTCTGTCAGAACCAGCTCCCCAGGACCAGCCATGCCCGGGGATGGGGCTGTGGGCACTCACTGGGCACCGGCCGGAGCACGTCAGGGATCAGGATCTCCACCAGGGCCTGGTACAGGATGTGGTCACAGCTCCTCATCCACTTCAGGATGGGCTCATATTTGCACAGAGTGATCAGCTTGTCTTTTGGGAGGGTCCCTTCGGGTTCTTCTTCACTGCAGGAGGAGGAAGGACACAGTGTGAGCAGCAGCTTTGCACTCAGTGCATTCACTCTTCTTTATTACCAACCCCGATTTTCAGCACAAAAAAGGCCTTCAGGTATCTTTCAAAAGGAAATGTCTGATTGTTTGTACAGGCCTTGTCTCTGCAAGCACCTCCCCATCCATGGGGCCACAGCTCTGGGCGAGTTTTCTCTCAAATCCACATCTCCTGCCTTCACCTCTTCCCTCTTCTGCCTCAGAGCCTTCCACGTACCCCTGTCCCTGTGGACGTGGGGACTGTGCTTAGCACAGCCATTTCAGCAAGAAAAGGCTCAGATGGTCCTTCTTACAGTCCCAGATGTTTCCAAAACCTTCCCACCCTTCCCCTCTGCTCTAAACCTGCTGAGCTGTAGCACTGGGGACAGAAAGTTTGCAGCCAGTGGCAGGAGCAGATTACCTGATAATGAGAGACACTACAAACGTTTTCAAGGTGTTTACCACCTTCAAATGCTGAATATTTTCAGAAGGAAGAATACTTGGTGGTTGGATGAGAACATATTCTACAGATTTTTGTGGGTTTTTTGCTTATTACTCAAAGTTTTACCATTTTTCTCCTGAATAGAAAACACCCCTATGGGAAGTCCTTATATTCACAGTACAAGTGGAGAGTACAGACTTGTGACTGATAGAAATGGCCTCAAGTTGTCCCAGGGGAGAGTTTAGATTGGATATTGGGAGAATTTCTTCACTGAAAGGGTGGTCAGGCTTTGGAATAGGCTGCCCAAGGCAGTGGTGGAGTCACCACCATTCCTAGGAATGTTCAAAAGGCACGTGGATGTGGCACCTGGGGACATGAGTCAGTGCTGGGCTGATGGCTGGACTCGATGATTTTAGAGGGCTTTTCCAACCTTAGTGATTCCATAATTCTATAATCAGAGCAGACACTTTCCTCAGAGGTCTGAACTCTGTGTTTCCATTATATTAAACGTTTTTATAGAATCCCAGAACATGCTGAGTTGGAGGGGACCATCAGGATCAACGAGTCCAACTCCTGCACGGGACACCCCAACAATCCCACCCTGTTCTCCAAAGCATTCAAAAAGGCTAAGGAAGCTGAAAAACACCTCATTCATCTTTAAAAGAAAAAAAAAAAACACCAAGATACAGAGCACTGAGAACGAGTGGAAGGCTGGGGAGTACCTGGAAGGCAGAGCAGCGGGACCATCACTAGGTGGTGCCTTCGGACTCCAGAAGGATTGCCAGAGTTTCTCGATGTAGTGAAACTGGAGGTTCATCACCACATCCAAAGTCGCCTGACAACAAAGAACACGGCTCGTTAGCAGCTCTGCCAGCCCCCTGTCAGCACACGCTTCATGTGCTGCCTCTTACAGTAAATAATTTACAAGGGAAATAACGGAAATGGCATTGTTTTGATAATCGACGGAACATAAAACAGGTCACACGGTGAAAAAAAAAACATAAAGCACAAGATCTGAGTTGTGATTCCTCACAAATCAAGCATTCCCTATAAATTCCAGCTTTTCCTAAGAGCGGGATATGAGTGAGCACGTGAATTATGTCCCACACTGATGAATAAATCAGATAATCACCAAATAATACCCCAAATAATCACCTCGCAGTGTCGCCTGTAAAGAATCTGCAGAGTTTTCACGTCGTTCAAGGTGAAACCTTCTTGTAAGAGGACATTCCCTAGATCAGGGGCTGGGAACTCAGGAAAGACATGGGTCACATCTAGGGGGGAAAAAAACATTAGGAAAGATGCTGAGGGTTAGGAACGCTTGGAATACGGGTGAGTACAAGGTGTTGCTGTCACCGGTGCTTTTTCATGATCCAATTGGGATGAAACAGGAAAAATGAGACTGATAATCGATTTTTTTTCCCCCTGATTTATGGTGTTATACTGGGGAAAAAAACCCCAAACAACTGCAGCCCATTTATTGGGTGTGGAAAGGAAAATGTTTTCTTTCTGTGTGCAATAAAAGAAACAAGAAAACATTGTCCTCATCTGCCACACTTGAGTTGGATTTTCCTCTGAAGCCTGAAAACCCTCTCTCTGGTATTCTGAGAGTACAATGGGGAATATAATTGGGCAGCAGAGGTGTCAGCAGCTCACAGAGCTGGCTGGGATTTGCTGTCTCAGCTGGAGGTGATGGAGACACGTAGATCCAGGACCAGCAGAGCCAGAGAGCCTGTCCCACAAGGAGAAGGTCTGCATGGATCATCTCCAGCTGGATGTGCAGCCTCTGCAAGGGAGAGAATTGCTTTTCCCCCTCTGGCAAGGCTTGGCAGAACCTCCACTCTTCCATGCAATTTGGATAAAACCAGAAGGATGAAAAACACACAAAGACCTGCTGGCTGAAGGAAAAAAAACACCTTTCTGGGGGGACAGGAGTCAGCAAACAAACTTTGCAAGAGTGACATTACAAAAGCTTATTAGAATATATACTATATATGAAATATATAATACTGTAGATTTATTAGGATACAGTTGGGCTTTCCTGAACAAGGAAAAAAAATCCTAGATGTGAATACTTAATCATTAAAGGAGTCTCCTCACCTATGAACTGCTGATGGTGCTGACTCTGAGCAGCCACCGACTGCTCCGGCGTGGTGTGGGGGTTGCTGTTGGACCCACTCTCTGCCATCCCATCCATCTTCTGGGCTGCTCTGTACCTAAATGCAGAGCGTGGTTCAAGACCCACACAAGTATTTACATGCCATTTACAACACAGCTGTGCAGATCTGTGTGTTCCTCAGGTGACCCTCAAGGACAGCGGGTGTGGAGGGCTGAGCGTTTCTATCAGTGACTCAAGGGCAGGGGGAAAAGGATCAGCTGCTTTTGACAGGCAGATTTGAAGGGGTTAAGAGGTTTGCCTAAGGTGACACCAAAAATCAAAAAAAGAGAAGCAGAATGGAGTGGGTTCCAGAGCAGGATCTGTCTTGGGAGCTGGCTTTCTGTATTTTTTCTTTTGCATTTACTTTCTGTTTGGGAGCTGAAGAAATTAAATTCTGCTCCTTCTTCACTCCAGCAACAACCAGAGGTGTCCACGCTTCCAGAAGGCAATTCCAAATTCCTTTGCATGTTGTATTTTACCTTTAGAATTGCTCAGACACAAGACTAACCATGGCACTATTTAACTTGCACTTTTGCACAAAAACCTGCCCCCCAAAACCCAAACAAAAAGCAAAATGCACCCAAAACCAGCACAACCCCCAAGTCCTTTCACTGATCTGGCACAGTAACTCCATAGCTGAGATCCTGGAGCAGTCTGGCTACAGGGATCCTGGGAAATGTGCCACTTATGGTGCTGGCAAACAGCTTAGGGAGATAAAAGCCATCCCATGGATTTACAGAATAGTTTGGGTTGGGACAGGCCTTTCAACTCCACGTAGTCCTTTTAAAGGCCATCTAGTGAGCAGGGACATCTTCAACCAGACCAGGTTGCTCAAAGCCCCGTCCAACCTCGCCTGGAATATTTCCAGGAATGGGCCCATCCACTGGAATTTTGGACCCTCCCACTGCTCCAGGCAGCGCTGGGGTTTGGCAAAGGGATTTGGACTTCTGAGCTCTTCGGGAAGGCCCTGGGAGCACCTACCTTTGCTTCTGGTGGATGGGCTGCTGCCTCATGGCCATGTACTGGGTGTCCTCCTGCAGGCGGTTCAGCGGAGACTCCGGCTTCAGGCGGATCCCGTAATAGTGATATTTGGAGTTCCCCCTGCAAGCATCAACACTGACACTCTCAGTGGCCCTGCAATTTAGGTTGTTCTGACAGCATTCCCGACTTCAGGCAGCGATTTGAGCGGCTGAAGTCATGGATTTAATAAATGCCATGGCCCCTTAGGAAGTTGAAGCCCACGCGTGGCCAAGCTCAGGGACGATCCACGTTAAAAACCAGCCAGGTTTGTTCCATGGTAACTGGGGAAGAGCAGGCAAGTGTTACAACACAAAGTGTTACTAAACAGAATGACAGAGAGCCCACAGGGGACGCTTTGCTATTTGATTAGGGTTTAAGGATTTGTTTCTTCCCATAAAAACAAACCTCGGTCTTTATCTAAACCCAGCCTGGCTGGACAGAAAACTACGATAAGAAAAATGCCTTTTGTGTTGCCACAACTTTCACAGCAACAGGCTTTGATGTGGTTTTGTTCTCGGAGCTGCTCATTTTTGAAGGGTTTGGGAAAAACTGGAAGCTTTCTGCAAGCACAGGGGGCTGGAATTCTTTCTCCTTTGCTGCTGGGATGCTCCTGAGGAGAACGTGATTCCATCGCCTTAGAGAGACATGTCAGTTGAAGTTTTTTCCACCAAACTGGAATTTTCCAATCCCAGTGAAATTAGAGAAATTTAAGAGAGGACTATTTGTCCCAGCTTCTTTTTGCTGGGGGAATTTTCCCTTTCCAAGGGCCACTTCAATTGTTCAGTCACTGCAAAAAAGAGTTTTACAGAAGCTACATGTTCAGCCCTGTCTTGATTGATTTTAAGTGCCTGCAAATTAAATAAAAGCTGCCTTTATGATCTAAAATTATAATAAATTAGAAAATAATGGTGGACAGCCCTTTCCACACCCATTTAGGTTCACTGTCTCCTTCCCAACCTGCACATTTGCAATTTTAAGTGGGTTTTTTGCTTGCTTGTTTTTTCTTTAATCTTTGATGGAATTAAGGAATTTCTCTCATCTAAGGAAATTATTTCATAGCTCTTGCACTTGACTCAATCTACAGAAATCCAACCTGCTCTTCCTGCAACTGTTGCCTCTACATTCCAGCTGTGCAATGCCCTGGACACACTTGGTTTTGTTCTCGTTCAGAAGCCCAAATACCTAAGCTTGAATTTTTATTATAAAATCTTACACAATCAGAGAAAGCACTTTTTCTCTAGTATATTACCTACTTTTTTATATTCTAAGCTGGGATAAAATGCACAGACAGCTGTGCAGAAGCTCTGGATGCTCTCTTGAAGGACACATCTGTAATTACAGGAGTGCATTTTCTCACGCTACACTTTTGTTGTAACATCCCACGGATCTTTGATGTTTCAAAAGAAAAAAATCCTCTCACAAGATTCAGTCTGATGCTTTAGGGATTTCAGAAATAAACCATTTACAACTTCAACAGCTTGTCTGCATCAAAGAATCTGTTATGGAGGATCTTTACTGGACTCAGAGGGAGAAATGGTTTTACTGAACCAGAATTGGGGTGGCAGCAACAACTGCGAGAGGATGAGTTACCTCCTCTTTTTCAGACAGTATAGAATCCCAGAATATGCTGAGCTGGAAGGGACCCACAAGGATCATCAGCCAACTCCTGGCCCTGCACAGACATCCCAACAATCCCCCCCTGTCCCTCAGAGCGTTGTCCAAACGCTCCTGGAGCTCTGGCAGCCTTGGGGCTGTGCCCACTGCCCTGGGGAGCCTGGGCAGTGCCCACCACCCTCTGGGGGAAGAACCTTTCCCTGAGATCCATCCCAACCCACCCTGGCACAGCTCCAGCTGTTCCCTCAGAAAATGGGATCCCAAAGGGATGAGAAGAAGCCTCAGCTCAAATAAAGTTTATTATCCCACACCATCACGGCCGGTTGTGTCTGTAGATCTCAAAATGACCTGTGCCTGCTAAATGATGCTCAGTAGGTTCTTAGAACACCCGAGAGAAGCTGCAGGAAGGCTTTTTTTCTTATTTCAGTGTAGATTCCTACCAACCTGGTTCCCAGGCGCCGGGTCCTCAGCCCCATGAACACAGAGCGGATGAGTTTCCCGAAGGAAGCGGCGTTCACCGGGTCCAGTTTGTGCTCCTGGCAGTGCCTCAGGTAATGGTTGTAGAGGGAGCTCCTGGGAAGGCTGACACCTTCTGCTGTCTCATAGTTATCCAACAACCACTGGAGCTTTAGGTATGGAAAAAAACAGAGAACATGGAAGTCTAAAGAAGGTCTTTAGACTCAAGCAGAGTCTGCTCTCAAATGTCCGCAGAGCCCCTCGGACTTCAGGAGTTCAAGAGAACTTCATGCTGAGTAGTTAATTCATACAAATCAATTTTATACACATTAATCTACATAACTTATAATTTATAAGTTACAACTCATCGCTTTTTATGGTCACAAAACCCCCAGCCCAAAGGTAACAACCCAGACAGAAGTGCTGTCACTTCTTGCATTAAAACTCCTGCCAGCTCAAGTGTCCACTTTGGGCTCAGCTGAATTCCTGCAGAGCCTGAATAAAGCTGTAAGGACTCGTGTTTTCCAAGAAAAAAGATTTTCAGATACTGCCCAAGAGGAATAAATTTTAGAGGAGGCAAACCTGCAG